AGCATAGACAACTTCATTCATACAAAGCAAGACCTTCATCATATAGTCATTAAGACAAACTTTAGGCAGATAAGGACAAGACCACTTCATATGGATCTATGTCGTGCATTTAATCAAAACAAGTAGACAACACTACAATGTCATGTATATGGAACATAAACATAGTCATATACATTTAGAACACCTCCCTAGAACTTCCTTCAAGAGCTATTTATGCGATGCATAGGTAAGTTCATTACTCTCACCTATCCTAAGTAACTTCCCTTAGGTCATCCTAGTTAGAGTCCTAGTCATTTACTTCCATAATCCATTTTACTTTAGGAAAACTATAGCCTTAACCAAAACTAAGACCATGGGTGCTAAACAGGGAATTTGGTGTTTTAGAGCCTTACACCAATGGAGGTGCTCTACTTAGCCAAAGAAGAACATTAACACATGCTACCATACTAAGTGATAACACTTGCTAGATCCTATGTGTCTAGCATAGTTTATGGAACTTGGAGGTATATGTGGCCAAATAGGGCATTGTAGTTATCCACTTATGGAAATATCAATCTAAGACATTTGGCTATGAGGCTAATCACATGGTGAGGACTGTGGTGACCTATCTTCCTACAATGGGAAGGGACACCCCTCAACTTCAAGTTCTCTCGGTGCTAAGCTAAGTTTCCTTTTATTAAAAAGACTTTATTAACATTACTTTATAAAACATAGGCTTTAGGAGATTGACTCCTCATATGCTTAGCTTATAGGTCATAGATGAAAGTTTATCAACCTATATCATTTGAGAAACCCTTTCACAGGGTTATTGCATATTCAACCACCATCTAGTTTAGGATACACTTGAGCACACTTTCAAGGCCCCTCCATTGACTAGATCATCATACATGTGTGTGTGTATACTTATATGTGAGCAAACCTTTCATATAACACATTTAGACCACACATATTCATACTTTCATCTCATTTATGCATAAGTGTAACTATATGAGAAACCCTTTCATATAAACACATTTAGACACTAGGTATGATCATCATCATACCACAAACATTATAGCATATAAGACTTGTTCATAACATACTCATGCATTCATATTCATGTACATAGAATACCAAGCCTAGGGACTATCCTATCAAGGCACACATGTGCAATGCATAGAGAAGGTTCCATACCCTTGCCCATACTAGTACACCTATCAAGTCATCCAAGTGAATGGTACATCACATAATCTCCTAGAGGGATAACATAGCATAATACACATTTATTCAAGATTTACAATGTCATTACAGTAAACTCTAGTCATTATGCACCTATATTAACTTTACTTCACATATAACATTATAAGACCTCATCATGGCCAGCACCTATACATAAAATTAACATAACCATTAACAAGATCATAACATTAGCCATACAACCTAGACCATTAGCTAGGCAATCAAGGCAGGTCGAACAGAGTCAGTCCTAGGGTGAAGATCATCGGATGGAAAAATGGATTGAGCTGGCATAACTAGAATAGGAAACTAAGCATAGGCTTCACATTGGGTGATCATCACCATCACACATTCATATCACAATTGCCTTCAAAGCCATGTTCACACACACACACACACACGCACACGCACACACACACGCACATGAACACACACACACGCGCACACAAACACACACACAAACACATACACACACACATACCACACACACATTGTAACGACCCGTTTTGTCGTTTTGAGCAGTAGAGTTTATTCTGATAATAATTTTCTGGGCTGACGGATCCCACGACGGACCGTCATGGGCACGACGGACTGTCGAGGGGGTCTCGTTCCAAAACACTTAGATTCTGGAAATTTGGGTACTGAGAACAACTCTCTGAACTTCGCGACGACATGGCAGGACGGACCGTCGTAGGCACGACGGACCGTCACATAGTCTTAAATAAGTCGTGACCGTCACAGAGTCTTAAATAAAATCAACTCTCTGAACTTTGTGACGGAAGCAGAAGGACGGACTGTCGCAGGCACGACGGACCGTCACAGGCTACGTAACCCTGACTGGGTTGGATTTCTGTTAAATGTTTTAAGGGGCGTTTTGGACTATTCCTGCTTATAATTATAAAGTTAGTGGTTGAATGTTAATAATTCAATTACTTGGGGGTTAAAGTAGATAACCTTGAATTAATTAGTGGGTTACTTTGGTCACCTTTTATACTTAATTATATGGTAATTAGGGTAAAAGAAAAAGAGTTTGAATAAGGAAAAATCAGGAAAAGAGAAAGAGAGGGAGAACGATCGAGAGAAGAGAGAAACTAAGAGGAAAGCAAAGATTTTGGGGGATAGCTTGCTTGATCGCGAATTCTTCGGTGGAGGTCGGTTATGGTTTTTATGATATTTCATAGTAATCTCCTAATAGCGAATGATATGTATTGGGTAGTATTGTAAAGTCTTCTATATGCTTAATTGTATGCTTGTATGATGTGATTATGTAATTGTAATGGGTTGAAAAGATAAGGTTGTGAATCTTAAAACTAAAACCCTCTCTGTTAATGATGATGCCTTGGTATAAAAGAAGGCTTGATGATCTAAAGGAATGAGATTAGGGGATCGGGTGTCGCGAACCGACACGTAGTATTAGGGGATTGGGTGTCATAAACCGACACGTAGTATTAATGGATCGGGTGTCACGAACTGACACGTAGTATTAGGGGATCGGGTGTCACGAACCGACACATAGTATTAGGGGATCGGAGTGTCACGTTCCGACACCAGGATAGTAAAAAGAATGAATTTGAATTATGTTAATGTACTCAATTTAATGAACCTGTTTCCAAAATGAGTATGGTGTGGAGGCTTGAGTCCTCATAGATGTGCTTGGGTTGTGCCCAATGGTCATGGTACTTGTTGTTATCACGTGTCAAGTGTTATGGTGGATTTTATGTTATTATTCTATATATATTGTTTTCTATTTTGAGTTGGCCGATGATATCTACTCAGTACTCGTGTTTTGTACTGACCCCTACTTGTATGTTTTCTTTTTGTTAATTGTGGAGTGCAGCAAACGTACCGTCGTCTTCAACTCAATCGCAACTCTAGTCGGTCTTCATCACGTCAGATTTCAGGGTGAGCTATTGTTCCTAGCTCGGACTGGATTCTCTCGCATTCATGTCTTGATGTCCTTGAAGTTCGGACATGGACTATCTCTTTTATTTGTTTTATCTTTCTAGACATTATTAGATTTAGTAATTTGAAGATAGATTGTTCTTGTGGTGATGACTTCCAGATTTTGGGGATAATAATAAGTTTTGAATTTTAGAAGTTATTATTGATTTCGTTAATGAGTTTTAAGTCTTCCGCATTATATTCTCTTTATTATGATTGGAATGTTGGGGCTTAGATTGGTTGGTTCGCTCACATAGGAGGTACATCGTGTGGGTGCCACTCGCGGCCCGTTTTGGGTCGTGACACACACACACCACCCACACACACACATGAAATTTTTTCATAACAATGAAAAATAATACATAATTAAATTAAAATATTGGTTGCATACCAAATCCATTTTGGACAACCATACCTTAACTCCAATATGAAAAAGAAAAACATAAAATCATAATCCAACATAAACAAGATCTAAAGGAATATATAAGTCATATCTTATACTGTTAAGTTTACAAATTGAAGTATATTGTAAGAAAGTTTCTTTTTTGAATTTCACAATGAAGCTATTTGTTCTTTTTCCTAGTTAGCTTCTTGACGACATGTATTCATATCATAATCTAGGAAGAAGAAAAGAGAATAGTAGGGAATAGAAAAGAAAACAATGTGATGACGTAGGAATAAATTAAGTGGTATTAATAGTGATATTTGGTTATCTTTCCACCTACAAAAATTTTTTAATAGGGCACATTGAGTCATGATAGACAAATTCATTTCAGTTTCAAAATTCAAAGAATCACCAAATCTGAAGAGTTTCATACATTATTGTTTCATGATAGATTTATTGATGTTAATTGCAAAATTCAAAGAATTACGAAATTCTTACATTATTGTTTTCTACTCTAATTTAATTTAACCTAATTAATTATAATTATAGTGTCATAACTAAAAAAAATGAAGTGTAGTTATTGCACTTCATATTCTAGAATTATGTAATTAAATATTAGTATTAAAAAAATAAATTAATTTATTTGATTTAGTGGAGGGGCAAAATAGTAATCCAACTTTGAAGGTTGGAGTTTCCCACTTATAAGATATATATATATATATATATATGCCGTAATTTATCTATCCTTAGAAAAATCACTTTTTGAAATGTGCTAATACAAAATGATTTAGAAGAATATTTAGAAAGAGTCGCCACTTAATTATTTGAAGAAATTAAGAAAACTTAATTTAAAAAGATTTTAACAGATTAAATCTTAATAAATTTTGAGAAAACGGGTAAGAGGTTCTTATTTATGCTTCAAGAAGGTTTTTAAGGCATTTGAAGCACCCGCTAACACGGGGTTATCCTATGACTTAGGTTAATTTATTTTTATTTATTTATTTATCTAAGAAACATGGTTTAATATAATAATTAACAATATTCGATCAACTTTAAGAAAATATTTAAACAAATATCAATTTTTTTTAATTTTATAACAAAATGGAAATTTAACTAAACCTTTTTTTTATATATGAATTAATTATAAGTAAATAGAATTTAACCAAACTAAATTGTTTTTATTTTTTTCATCACTTTAAAAAGATAATAATTCAAGGCAAATTCGTTAATTTAAGAATGAAAACCCATTTTTAATTGATGGAGGAATAAAAGATTCGCTTAAAATAATATTTTAAAATAATAAAATGGTTTAGCGAAAATCATTAAAGAATATATATCTTTTAAGAACAAAGGTTTGACTTAACTAAAGATATTAATTTTACTCATATACTTGACATAAAAATAAATTATTGTAAAAGATGTTTATATAGTAAGCCAACATAAAAAAATAATTCATCTGTTGGGGATTTAAGTAAGTTAATCCAAAACAAAATAAAGGTTAGAGTTAATAAACAACAAAGATGAACAATCACAATCAAATACTTTAAGAGTATGGGAGAGAAGTTGAATTTGGGCCTTTCTTAGGCCGAATTTGCTGCTACTTTTGGGGTTAAATCCAAAACCCGTTTTTGTATACACAAGCCGTATATCAGTGTATACAGATCGCAAATCAGTACCGTTTCATGTATATCAACCCATATATAGACTTTTTATAAACCCCTTTGGTTTCTCCAACATGTATCTTTGTTTTTTCTTAGCAGTCGTTGGGCGGAACTTGTATACCATTGTATGATGAATGTATACAGGCTGCATATCAGCCCTTTTCTTGGTGTCCTGGACCAGTAACCTGTGCTCAATCTGTAATTCTGCTTCCAATGGTTTGAGTAAGAATGGGGCTGACTCGGTAAAGAAATTGAAGCCTCCATGGCTCCTATCGGAAATGCAAAGAGAAAAGAAAGTCCACAAGAGACTCGGACGAAGTTCACATGTAACAAGAATAAGCAACTTAAAGTAACAACTCATATGATGTAATGTAGGAAAATAAAGATGCACTTCTTTATGCTATTGTCCAGACTCCAAAACATCACCATGATGACACAAATAGATGTTATCTAATACTTATCACAACTAGAACTCAACAATTTGGACATGAAGAAACACTACCCACAAAACACACATAAGTACCAGTGAATATTAACTAAATTTTACCTCCAAATGATAGTTCTTAACAAACAAAGAAGAAGAGGATGGAAGCAGATTGCTTAATCACAAACCTTAAGGGGTGACAAACATCGCCAATAATTACAAGCCTCTTAGGGAGTTAAAACAACAAGGAAGATGAACTAAATATACTGAAAGTTTAGGCGTTTTAAAGAAACATGAGAAAACCAAAATCAGAAAAAAAAACAAATGCTAAATATTCATATTCACACTTCAATGAACAAACAGTGAACATAATTTTTCATCCAGCAAAACCATCATTGATTCTTCCCAACTTTAGTCATGAAGAAGACATCAAGACGTGAGCAAACCGTAAAAAAAAAAATAGAACCATACAACGAGTAAATCCCAAGTTGAAGCTAAATGAAAATTCCATGATAATAAGTGAATGAGAAAGGAAATTATGCAAAGACTATGACACGAAATGTATAAATTTGAATAGAGAACATAACTTTAAAGGAAACAACATGCCTAGGAAATTTAAACCATAATGTATGTTCCCAATAGATCCCGACATATTAGATGAATGGAATACCTTCATGAATATGGATAACATGCATATTATACAAAAGACAATGAATAATTATATATATAGCAGTAATAAGACAAGGTCATCAACAATACATATATGAAAATGCATGGAAAACATGTTTATTGCCAATTTTGTCTTAGTTCACATATGACCCGAATTCAAACAGAACAAATACACAATTTATTCATTGAATATAAAAGCAACCAATATGAGATAGGAGAAGAGATGAAGTTACCTTCTCTGGAGTAGCGAACTCGAGACGGCAATGAGCTTGAGAGCAATGATTCTTCTACCACAAGATTCAAGTACAAATAGACAGCCAAAAAGTTCAAAACCAGCTGCAAACTATATTTTAGAGATTCACTTGAAACTTTCTAGTGTAAAGTGATTATCGCTTCAAAACTCAACTCCTGATCCTCTCTCCAAATCCCTTGAGAATGGGAACTATTTATAGGGGAAGAACATAGAAAATTTTGTGGGAAATCCATTGGATTTTTGAAAGAAAGAGTTTGAAATTATTATTTTTTGCTCCTTTGCGAGATCAACAGTAAAAGGCATGGGGGAGCTCTGGGGGGAAAGAGAAAACGGCGATGGTGATGGGATTTTACTGTTGGCCTGATTTTTGGGTTTTCAACCATGATTTGTTGCTTGATTTATGGGAAAGAAGATGTTGGCTTACTGGATTTCATCCCCGATTTTCTTGGATTTCAACGTGAAGAATAAACAAGGTGGGATCGGGTCGGGTATTTTGGGCTTGCTGTGTAGGCATCTGATTGTATTGTTGTTGGGCTGAAAATTGAATTAAAATTGGGCCCAAAACTAAAGCTGAAAAATGAGCTTAAAAGGGAAGTGAAAAAGATAGTCAATTGAATTGCAGTTATAGCCAAATAGGAATTAAGAAGTTAGCCAATTGAGTAAAAATTTAGATGAATTAAATATTAACTAATTAAAGATCCTCTTAATCTTAACAAGATATAATAATTAAATTAATTATAAACTAATTAACTCGAAATAATTACTATAACTTAAAATATAGTGAATTAATAAAGCTTCTAACTAAAACATAAAAATCTTATTTTCAAATATTTATAAAATATACTAATCATATAATTATATAGAACATATAAATTTATTTAAAATTATAAATAAAATTAAATGAAGCTATATATATATATATATATATATATATATATATATATATATATATATATATATAGACACACACACACATACATATTCTCATCCTTTTATCATCATTATTTAATACTCCTTTTTCCACGCTAAGGGTAGTATCATAATTACCCTAAATATATCATTAATTATTTAATTTATAAGGTTGAGGGGCATTTTGCGGAGAGAGGACGAAATTGGGTTCTTGAAGTGAAGTCTTGTTCCACTCGGGTTCGAACCTAGGTGGAAGCAATGAATTAAATTGTTTTAATTTAAGTTGGTAAATTAATGTAATTAATTTAAATTTATTAGTTATAAACTGATTTAAAATAAAAGAAAATCAGATTTTCAATAATTAAATAATACCTTATTTGACTAAGTCCTAAACTAGTTTCCTAAGCCTAAGAAAACTCTTCTATCCCACACTCATCTCTCTCTGTCACGTCTCTATCACTCTCACTCACATTTTTCTCTGCCAAATAACGTACAAAAACAGTAGGTAAACCAAATTTATTCACACTTGAAGAACTCACAACGAAAATTATAAACAAAAAACTAATCGAACACGTTAGGCAAAGAGAGGATTTTTCCGTCAAGTTGGTGGTGAAGCTCTTTGATTTGGACGTGTTTTTGGAGGGGTTCTTTGGGTATCAAGTCGAGGTTTGAACGTTAAAAAGATATGGGTTCTCTTCTATCTTGATCCCTTTCTGAAGAGACCCCTTAAGGTTTAGAATATCATTCCGAAAACCAGGATTTTCCCCCGTTGTATATCTCTGTCACTAGCTCCTGTTGAATCATAGGTTGGTTATGTTTGCTGGTACAAAACTAGGGATTAAAAGTGTGTTTTTGATGATTATGTGTTTATATGTATGTTTGGAATTATGTGACTTATGTTGATATTTCCGAAAATGTAACTACGTGTGTATTGCCATGGCTATTGTTCATGTACACATGTTGATGTAAATGTGATGTTCATATGATTTGAAAAGTGGCTGATTTGTGGGATAATCTCTTGGCTAAATTAATCCATGAAAACGCACCTAAAACTTTCTAAATGCACTACGAAATTCCCCTAAGAACTAAGGTGTAACTTGATGTAAGGATGCTAAAAAATTAAAAGAAAATTTCCAGCTTCTAGTGATGAATTTCGGTCAGCAAAGAGGGTTAAAAATGTTGAAAAAATTTAATTAAAACAATTGAGTTCATGGAGGATTGAACCCTGACCTCATTATGTTAAAAACCATGAAAATAAAGAAGTAAAAAGAAATGTGGTGAAGGGAATTCGAACAATGGTATTGGTTGGAAAATGTAAGTTGAAAGAAAAAAAATAAGAAATGAGAGGAGTGGGATTCTAACCCACCACCTCTCAATCATAATTAAGGAAGAGTAAAAGAAAAAAAATGTGAGGATTGGTAACTGAACCCACGACCTCTAGGCAGTGAAGGAGAGTAAAACAAAATAGAAAAGAAATGTGAATCGTGGGAATCAAACCCACGACCTCTAGGCAGTGAAGGAGTTTTTAAAAAAAATGAAAGAAAAGAGATGTGAGGCGTGGGAATCGAACCCACGACCCCCTAGGCAGATTTAAGGAGAAAAATTAAAAGAAATTAAAGAGGGGATGTGGGGGTTCGAACCCACAATCCCTCGGCTGAAGGAGGTAAATTTAAAGGCAATGAAAATAAAAAGTAAATGAGGTTGTGGGGGTTCGATACCACATCCTCTTAGTTCCATTAAGCAAAAAATGAAGAGAGAAATTAAGGAAAAAATAAAATGAAAGTATTGGGGCTCGAGCTTGGGTCCCCAACCGTATGGATCAAGTCAACATGAATAAAAAAAATGTAAGTGATGTTCAAGAGATTTGAAAATCGGATTCGTTACCCAAATTCCGTATAGATGCATAGTCATACGTGAGTTAAATCTTCAAGAATAATGCTGCCCACTTATATCAAAATAGAGATTTTTGCATACATTCAAGATGCATAAATCTTGTACTACATAATTTTAGGAAGATGTGAATCACTTAAACAAACTATGAATGAAGCCTCATGGCTTGTATGTATAGACCCATAAGTCTAGCATACCTTTAAAATAAGTGAACCTAAGATGTATGTAAAGAAATGATGTAATTATAGAAGAGATAAGTACGAGTGTAAAACAGAAAAAAGGCCAAGTATATTGGCATACGATGAAATGATTATTATGTAGTGAAATGATGAAACCCTAGAAGGATTAAATAAGAGTGTGAAACACACAAATGGCCAAGTGCATTGGCATATGATAAAATGAACATTCACGTAAAAATGGGTGAGTAATTATGAAGAGAAAATGTGATAATGTTGATGAATGTGGTGACAACATGATATGAGGCTAATGTAAAAGATGATAGAAATCTCAAATGAGCCTAGGTAAATGTTAACAATACGTACTCACCTATGAGAGTGTAAAGTTAATGAAGAGACCGACCTCTATGACACACTAATGAAAGTATTGAGATTAACACACTTAATACTAATGATGAGATGAGAAATCATATATTGAGCTATGATGTCCTCATACTATAAACCAACTTGCATAACGTATGAGTTGAATATAATAGAACTTTATACTGAGAACCGATAGACTAGCTATGAGCGGCGATGCCTTCTTTAGGGAAGGGCGGAGGTTCACGTAACTCTCATGAAATGAGACTGTCCGGCATGCCGGGTATGGGTATCCTTATATCTCCTAGTTTTTGAACCTATACTTCAAATATAAAGATCTGACGGGGCTCGATTCCCATGTCTAGCATATTTTGGGTAACTTTGGACGGTGATTCGACCTCTTTTTGGTGTGGGGTTTCATGACACTGGATTTCATGATGCTCACATGGTCTATGTCGATTAAAGTTAAAGTTTCCAATGAATGAATGAGGCCAACCTCAAATGATGCACATAATAAAATGAATAATACCAAAGGTGTTAGGATAGGATAATCAGGAGATGAGTTAGACTCAAGTAATGACATTAGGTAATTCTAGGTCATTGCACAACGAACCCGATGAAATTCTTAAACTACATCCGAGGTATAGCTTGTGTTTACATTGGCCCATGAATGAAATGAAATGAAGTACGTATGAATGAACGAAGCAGACTCTGTGTTTTCTAAAGCAGACTCCCTAGTTGAGGTCTCATATGTTTAGTCCTCATTTTTGGAAATCTTAATGTCAAGTCCATGATTCCAAGATCTCATGGCATACGAATAAATAATATTAACAACTTTATGTGTTATATGAATTATAATATGTGCTATGTGTATGCTGTTTTGTGTTGTGTTCAAAATGTTAAGTATGATGATGCATGTTACTCTAATGGCATAACTTTCCTAATCTAAATTTTGAAAGCTCACTCACTTTCCTAATCTCAACTTGGCAATTCCACTGGCTTGACCTTCTACAATCATGTTGTTAGGAAAGATCTATTCTTAATCATGCGTGTCCTTGGTGTGTGCTTACATATCCCCATACGTAGTACAAGTATGTACTATCCCAATACAACTCTACAATTTTAGGTGTTGGCATAGGTGGACACTAGAGCTACAGGTTGACGCTAAAACTATCCGGACGTGGAGCATTCATCTGGACTTGGTAGGACCTTATTTTCGAGGATGCTTGCCCATTATATTCTAGATTAGTTATTGGAATGAGCTAGTGGAGTATGTTCCACTAGCGTTTCTTTCTGCTTTTGTTCAGACATTGGCAAGTATACATTTAATGCTATATTAATCTATTTCTTTCATTTGATGATCTTAATGTTAGATTGTTGATGGTAAAAAATTATGAATCTAATAGAATGATTAGTATGTATGTTAAGAAACAAAAAGTTTGAAATTTTTCTGCTAAAAATTATCCTAGACGAAGTAAGAATGATGTAAGTAGGCTTGTTTGCAAGCTTTGAGAGGTCAACGACGCCGGTCTCGTCTAGGGTCTAGACTCCGGTCGTGATAAAGTTGGTATCAGAGCCTAGGTAAAATTCCAAAGATAATAAGTTCACATCAACCACATTTGGTAGTTTCTAAGTCATGGTAGTGAAGTGCACCACTATCCTCAATTAGAGACTGCATGGTGCGTAGGATAATTTCCCTTCTTCTGATCTTATCGTGCCTTATCTAATGTCTGTTTCTTGTTGTTAAGAGAGTATCTAACATCAAATCTTAAGATTCAGAAATATGAATACAAAGAGAAACAAAGTAAGAGCAACAAAGTGTTCCCAGGGAGAACCCACCTACCAGCAATATGGCTCGCAGGTTAAGGGACTTCACGAGGATGAATCCTTTCGTTTACACTAGATCTAAGATTGATGAGAATCTTGAGGAGCAGTGTAGGGTAGCTATGTTGCATGCCAGCATGGGCCTTTCCAGGCTTATGGTCCATGTCCAACAAGTGGAGGAAAACACGAATAGGAAGCATACTAGGGCAGGAAACAGGTCAAGACAAGCTAAGAAGAATTTTCAAGGAAGAGTAGTACTAAAATCAGGGATAAGCCCAGATTTAAGAAGGGGCTCTCCCACCAAGGAGAGTCAAGTTCTTCTAAGGATCTCTATGATA